TGGATTCAAGCCATCTTGGATAACCTTCAGCCAATTTAAAAAAAGGAGATTTATCTCTACTAGATCAATTTAAAGTAAACTTTAAATTTCGGAATAATAACATAATTAATAACTCACTAGTTCAATAACATTGATTTTTACTAAATATTTTCATTTTCACACATAATGCGTAACCTAAAATTTTGTCAACAAATGAGAGTGTGTCGATTCAGGATTCGCTCCAAATCAGCTTCCTCTACACACTTTGCCGGGGGGTTTATTGATGGTATCAGACTTAGCACCCGTCCAACGAACAGGTCCCGACCCGACCCAAAATATGATTGGGGAGACGATCTAGGCCCACAATGACGAGTTCGGCCCGAACAAACGAGCTCGTCTCAAGCCTACGATGAATCAACCGACCTAGGAGCTTATTAGGAAACGGAAATAATCGACATGAAAAATAAAATTTACTTTTCCTTATCGTAGTAGGGTTTTGATGGACCGGCTAAAATTTGTATAAATATGCATGTACTTCTCTTGAATAAAGGATCTAAAATTCATTCAATAAACACATGCTTTTGTTCGCTTGTTCATCAATGGTTAATCTCTGACTTTGAGCTATTATTCTTAGAAATCTAGACCCCTTTAAATTGTTTGAAAGAACCAAATAGTTTATGCAATCCATAATTCATTCAATAAACACAAATGCTTTTGATCTCTTGTCCATCGTTGGTTATTCTTCACGACTCTTCAAGAGTATTTTCTCGGCGATGCGATCGATCGAGGCTCTCCTGGCATTTTGCTCTTGATCTCCTCCGACACCGACTTCATTCCCGCTATCGACTTCTTGGGTGAGCACGGCTTTGTGATTCTCTTAGCACAACAGAAAGGCTTGCCCTCTGACCATCTTAACGAAAAGTTTCGTAACCACTGTCATTACACATACATTTGGAAGGATTTGAGAGTTGGAAAAGCGCCAACATATCAGTGTGATTTTGCTTAGGGATTGGATCTTTTGTCTCATTGTCTGGTACTTTGTTTGTGTTTGTTTAGGGATTGGTTATGTCTGTTTGCTTAGGAATTTGTCTTGATGATTGTTTAGGGATTGGTTATGTCTATTTGCTTAGGAGTTGATCGCAGTATTGTATTTAGAGATTTTTTTTTGTATGTACTTATCTAAATTCCAATTATAATATTAGAATGAGGTAATAATTCAATTAGGGATCTTTTTGTGTACTTATCTAAATTCTAATTAGAATGATGACTTAACCTTGTAATAATTCGACTAAGATCTAAGGAACTATGACTTTCAAATTCAACACTTTCAAAATCTCTAAGAATATTACATTCGATGATGACATTGTAAGTAAAAATTCAAAATTAAATCTCAACAACAAGAGCCTACTAAATTACAATGCCAATGTCCCAGTCCCATTCCCCACTTATAATGTGAATGATCATCAGTACCTCAAACGAAGAACTACAAAAGGTGGTGGCTCCGTGTCTCCATATACGTAATCTTCTTCCTCTTCAGCCAATCACTTGTCAAAATTCTGGGTAGATTGTACTGTGAAAATAGAGGGAAAAGCGGATATGCGGCAACATTTTTCCAACTCCCTGGCTTCTCTTCCGCTTCTTTTCACGAAATCGGCAGTCCCCTTCCTTCACCACCCTTGCATCACTTTGCATGTGCACTGGACAGCTAGTATCTGCTTCTGCTTATTTGTCTGCGGTTGGGTTTCTCTACTTACCAGTCTCTACTTTCTCCCTCATCTTCGCCTCACAGTTGGCTTTCACTGCTTTCTTCTCGTATTCCTTAACGCGCAAAAGTTCACTCCTTTCATCGTCAATTCTTTGTTTCTCTTTACCGTTCCCTCTGCCCTCCTTTTGTTCAACACGGAGTCGCAAAACACATCATATGTCTCTAGAGTGTGAGGAGAGTTGCAACCAGCGCTTACATTAGGCACCCGACATAGTGAGCCCGAGGATACTTGTTTTGCAGTTGAGGCCATTGAACAAAGAATTGATCAGCAGATCCACTTAACCTGATTCAAATGTTTACAGGAGATGTGAGTTTATCTTCAAAGCTACAGATAGATTCAAGCAGACTGCTACCTATAATCTGATTGCTTTACCTACCCGTTTCTACCTATTCCCTGATCAAACTCAAAAGCAAACATTCTCCAAGAAGATCAAATGTAAGCATTTCCTAGTCATTCACTTCATATATATTACCTGAAACGCATGCATTCTGAACCTATTGTTCCTCTTTCCAGGCATCGTCTATGGAGTCTTCAATGAGAAATCAGCTTGGCCGTACAGGAAAGAGAGGCAAAATTCAGAAGAAGTCTACTTCGGTCTGAAAACCGGACAAGGTCTTTTGGAGTTCAAGTGCAAGAGAAGAGTTCACAAGCAGAGATGGGTTGACGGGGTTTAGTCTCTTCTCCGCCAAGTAAATTGCTTCGAGGCTGCCAAATGCTCACTGGGATCTCTGAGTCTCACCGGTCACACGTGATGCAGGATCATGTATACATTGATCATATACAACTATATATATCCACATTTTTGCTGTTGTGAGGTATTTGTAAAAACTGGCAATGTACAATCTCAGTCTCTAACTATAACTTCAGAAGACTTTTGCATTAAAACACAGCAGGTTCTTTAAATGATCACATCAAGTGGTATGTACAGAAAGACTTCAGAGGAAAATAATGGATCCCAACAAAAAATTGAACTTTTTATTTCCAATGATTCAAGTTCTGATTTGCTTAGTCGAAACATTGACGTGCAAGCCATGAAGAATACAAAAAACTTAGAGAAATGGTCTGGATGAGTATATGACCTTGCTTGTATGAGCGGCCCATATGAAGAATCAGGTGAGAGACATGTCAGAGATTTACATGTTGGCCGTATTAGAATACGACAGTCTTGTGTGTCCCATAAGGCAAAACCCGAAGTTCACAGTAAGATTTTATAGCTTTCATGAGGCACTTTTTCTCAAGGTCCTCTGACTTCTGAACGAAGCTCCTCAAGTTGTCTCGGTGGGAAACTCTCTCAACCTGCGAAACTCAAATTGAGACTTTACTGACGAACAATGCAACCCTCAGAACAAATAGATTAGTTGGGAGATGAATCACCATTTGTTCAATGATAGGGCCCGAGTCAAGTTCCTCNGNAACAAAGTGAGTTGTTGCACCAATTAGTTTCACACCTGCATCAAATGCCTACCAACATAATCTAGAAGATTAAGAGCCAGGGACGAGCATTGAGAGATAAGGACGAGTAAATATAAGTAACACAACTCAAGCGAGGTAGAGACATCGAAGAACTCAGAAACCTGTTTCGCTTGATGTCGCCCCTTGAATGATGGCAAGAGGCCATGATGGGTGTTGATTACATCTTTTCCATAACCTTTCAAGAAATTACCGGATAGTAGCTGCCAAAGGAAAATGTTCCAGTCAATATCATCCGTCAAAACAATAACTAATGCTATCAAATTTCTTTTGTTAGTAACGCTGTTCCTGGAAAGAAGCATAAATTCAAAGCAAGAACCGCATGAGGAGAAAATTTGATTCACTTTTTGGGTCAAAATAGAGAAGTAGCGAGCAAGTTGTAAGAGGCACATTCATCAGAATGAGAGGGCTCAGTGACAATCATTTGCTAAGCTAAGNATTGGATAAACGTAGAGAGAATTAGCTTAGGATGGAACTTAAAATCTGATATACCTGCATGTATCTAGCAAGAACTAGAAAATCGGTATCGTTAACCAATTCCAGAATCTCCTCTTCTATTTTGTTCTGATCGGTTGTTGGCAAATAATGATATGAGATGCCATGCCTCTGGAGAAACCGCATGATATGGGTGTTTGGAGCTCTTTCATGATTACTGATACACAAAATATTCCTGAATCAGCAGTCATACATGCATAGCTAATATATCCATTCAGTCCGATGAGACGAGTAGAGATGAGGTCACCTTATCACACATGTTATATCGACGGGAAGTTCTCCGTCCTGCCATTTATGCAACATTTCAACCAGACAATGATCCTACAGGCACAAGAATCACAGAAGTTGAGGACAAGTAAACAAGAGCACAAGGAATAAGAAGAGGAAGGAGATGACATGTAATAACCTGTTTGGATAGTAGAAGAGCAATCTTGTATTTGGGGTCTAAAGAGGGCACTCGTACAGCGGAGCTCAGAGCACTGAACTTTTGTGCAAAAGTCTGAAAATCTTGAGCCATCTGACTCCTCGGCCATTTTACAGGATCAAATACAAACTCGCTGCCCAAGAAATCACCTTTTCATCACAACAAAACCCAAAAATAGTATCTTTAATTGATATGATAATCTATGTAAGTCTAGTGNCCAGTTGTGTTACCGTGGTGGGGCTTTTAGCTAGCGGCTGAGTGGAAAATTTTGAGCAGCNAAATGGAAAACTACAAACNTGGGAAGGTATCTTACATTATGAACCTAGTGTGGACAGCTATTACCTGGCAGGTCTTCAACATCGGTGGCACAGGACTGATCTTCGAGCTTTCTGTTCCGCTTTCAAATGCAATAAGCGTTTTGGGATTGCCCGTGGTTCCTATCCTGGCTGTCATCATTTTCCATGACAAAATGACTCTTGTTTACATCATTGTAACAGGAAGTAGACTTAATTTAAATAAAAAGTAGATGAGTTTTGTTTAGTTTTAAAGAAGCTACCCAAGTCACTTATAAGCTCATAGCAACCAACAAAGACGAAAACGAATGTGACTCGATCATGTAGGCTCTGTAGCTATTCTAAGTTATTGTAATAAATCTAGGTGTGAGGAGAGTTCCAACCAGCTCTTACATCAGGCACCCGACATAGTGAGCCCGAGGATATATACTTGTTTTGCAGTTGAGGCCACTGAGCAAAGAATTGATCAGCAGATCCACTTAACTAGAGCTTTCTCCCTCTTGCTACACTCTCAACATAAGAAAGATAGATGACCACTACACCTGTAACCACGGATGAGACACGAACTTTATAAAATTCTACATAACATCCAAAACATGCTTTCTCTTTTTTTCTCCACAGGTCCATTCAAGTCCAAATAGTAGAAGAAAGAACTTCGTGATAAAATATTTCTAGAGTGTGTATACCTCGAAAAAGAAAGCGACCACACAGACCATTGCAAAGCTTCAACCAGATTTAATAAATAACCTGATTCAAATGTTTTATGAAAAATCTGAGAACACTGAGATAAAGATCATACCACTTGTGGTCTGATCCGGATCATTAGCCACAGAGCGTGAACAGTAGTAGTCCAGACAGAAGTCACATAAGACTGACCAACTTCTCGACTTGTACTATACCGTTGTAAGGAGGCCTCCTTCAGAGCCAACATGAAGCATAGAAAACAGAATTAGTAAATCGGTAGTAGAATTATCCAGCTTCATCCCAAAACAATGCAGAAACAAAAACACAAGAAGCCACGAGCTTTCTGGAGACTAAGGATTTAACTAAACCTTGTCAGCTATAGAATCTTCAAAGCTACGAGCTTTCTGGAGACTCGTGTTATCCGTAGCTGCAGCAATGTATGTCCTTCCGAATAACCGAGAGGAGAGTCAACATCTCTGCAGATACAGCAACATTTCACCTAACCATGTAATACACCTCACATGAATCCAATTGAATAGGACAATGTATTAACTTCTTCTTACCAGAACCAAGAACAATAATAAGAGTACTAAAGGACTTTGAAGCTCCTTATGGTTTAGTACACGAACCATCATCAGAACGATTGCCAAGCTAATTACAAATGAACCAATGCTGAATTTGGAGACCATCTTCGAGTAAATTGCAGCAATGGTGTTCCTCCATGATCTTAGTAACTCTCTTCGCTTTCCAAACTACATTCCAACATATAAACTAAACTCAAACATCAGATCAACCCTTAAGCTTCTATATCAAAATCAAACATGAAGATAGAACCAACACAAAGAAATTGGAACACTAGTTAGGCTATCAACAGATAGAAATGGTGTCACAAACTTCTCTAAAAATCAGAGCTTTAAGATTAGTCGAAGCTTTGGAGATGAATTGGTGGAGACTTGTCAGAACCAACACTTTGAGAAACAGACAAGTTTCTTGAACGATTTAGAGAAAACCCATTCTTTCGTGGAATCTTAGAGAGAGAGAAAGGAATGTTAGAGAGAAACATCTTCGTGAGCAACCTTGAGAGTAAGTGAGAATTGAGGAAAGAGAAGAAGGCGCCATTGGAGATTGAAGAAGCTCCCACAGCAATAAGCCGCACCAAAACGCAAGAGTACTGTCGACACTTTCACATTTTAAGCTTGCATTTAACCAGCATTTTGGTCAGAAAAAGAAAAAGAAAAAAGCACAAGCAGAAAATGAGGACGAGTTATAAGATTTGTCTTGATTTTAGCTCAGACCGAAAGAGAAGTCATTGACAGACAGAGTGTGTTGGAAATAAAAACTTAGAAATTTGGAAGAGGTTAGAAATTTTAAAAAAGATAATTACTAGAATGATTTTGAAAAGTAGGTTAATTACTAGAATGACTTTGTCAAATCTAATAACTTGACACAGCTTTATAAAAAACCAATTAACCTTAGTAAGGTTTTTTATTTATAGAACTCCCATCAAAAACCTAAAAAAATTTTTTTTTTAAGATATTGCAAGTCGCGGTTTGGTTTTTTCACGAACCATCGTCTTCTCCACCCAAAGCATAGCGGCGATTCCGACGGCGGTGACTGGTAAGAGTCTTTCTCCTCTCTTATTGTTAGTTTAATCGATTTGGGAAGATAATGAAACTGAACCATTCAGTTTCTTCGACAGGTTTTGGGTTTGGTTCTCGGTGAGCGAAATTCCGGCGACTGAAACTTCCTTCCGCCGAGTTAGGGTTCCGCGTTGTTGCTTCGTACAACAGGTATATGAATTTTGGTTTTCATTTGGGTTATGGTAGTGTTCTCAAAATATCGAAACCCTAATTTGCAATAAATTTTACAGATTTCTTTCACATTCGGATGGCGAAATCGACGGTTCTGGTGGTTTAGTACGGGGTAAATTAGCCAGTAGACAATCCCAACTACGGGTGGTTGAGTACGGGGGTAAATTTCAGTACACCTTATGGTGGTTGATTTTTTCGTATTTATGGTAGACTTATATGTAAATATGGTGGTAGACTTAATGGTTAGTTATGGTAGACTTATGTTAGACTTAATGGGTAGTTATGGTAGACTTATTTTGTAGTTATGGTAGATTTGTTAGATAGTTATGGTAGACTTATTGTGTAGTTATTGATAAATTTTTTGGGTAGTTATGGTAGACTTATTGTATAGTTATGGTAGACTTATTTATCTATTTTGATAGATTTTTATTATACGAGATCTCTAAACACCTTTTATTTTTTAATTGACAGCATATGGTTGTCGGCATGAATATGCTCCGACAAAGGTCTTTGCAAAAGCCAAGTCCGTTCAAAAGTGAAAGGATTGCTTTTATCGATCCTTATTTTCGGGCTTTTGGTCTCTAGAATACGCTAGATGCTTCCTTGGGAAAGAGAAGAGCTGGGTGTTTCCGCCAGGATATTTCAGTGTCTACAATGGTACACTTCCACATTTCGCTGCCACCAACAAAAAATGGGTTGCGGATGTGGATACTTTGTACTTTGTTTAGCACTAGGACATTGTTACGATGGCTTGTGTGATTCCTTCAAAAGTATGGTAAACTTATATGATTTATTTTGTAATGTAATGATTTGATAAACAATTTGTAGTCTAAACATGATCGATGGTTTCCTACTGTTAAGTTTTGAAACAAAAGAAATTTATGATCTACTTAAACAATAAGTCTACCGAGACAATAAATCTACCATCATGTTAAAAAATAAATCTACCATCACTTAAAACATTAAGTCTACCGTGACATTAAATCTACCATCATGACAACATAAATCTACCATCATTACAAATTCTTGAATCTAAATACCATAGTACAAATTCTTGAATCAAAATACCATAGTACTACAAGTTACAATTAGCGTCACAAGTCAAACGATTATG